TGCTACTTACACATTAATGCACCAACAAGAATAATATAATAATACAGTTTAATGATATACATTTTAAAACACTCACAGAGGCAATTTCCCTGCATTCTGAGTACTTTCAGTTTTGATAGTAATACATACTTCTACAACTTGAAGGAATACTTGTAATTAAGTATTTTTATATTGCAGTATTGCTACTTTTACTTAAGCAAGGGACCTGTCCTTCCTCCACCACTGCACAGTGAGGACTTCATCAGAGCATAGTCTACAGGATGTATGGATTTCCCTCTGTCACCCTGTCTCCTACACGTAGTAATTCTCCATACAAAACAACATAAATCATGGGGCTCTGCAGCAAACAGCGCACTAATCTCAGAGGGGGTTGTTCCTAATATGAAATATTTGGAGTCAGGAGCTACTTGGACGGGACACTTCAGGTAAGGTTGAATGTGACAATGTCAGGTGATGGGGACCATGTCTCTGGGTTGTACTGGAATAAGGACATGCTAGGAAACTGGTACGTCTTGGCGTACTAATGATGTCATGATCCTCACCACTGCTCCTTCCAGACACTGATGGAGCTCCACTCCAGTCGCCACTACCTCAGCAGACAGGTCGTCTTCAGCGGTGTGTGTGCTAGGGGGAAGGAGGGTGGGGGGGGGACCTCCTGTCCCGTTCGGCGCTGCAGTGCCTGTTAGAGTACATCGTTAGTACACAGCTGGACAGGAAAGCAGACCTGTAACATCTTAACGGACTTTTAAATTATAACATCACACGCACGGGAGACACAGCGCGCATCCCCCCTCCCACATCTCGGGAGATCCAGAAATGATGCCCCGTCTACCGGGCGGCGGCAGAACGAAGTGCGGGACCACTGGCACCTTTTTGTCGGCGTGTCTGATCTCGGCTTGTGAAGCCCTCCGGAGCTGCGGGGAGGTCCAGTGCGGCGATGGCCAGCAGTGCTGTCCGCCCATCGTCACCGGGAACGGCAGTGCCAGCTCTGCGGTGCGCTGCTGCAAGCTCCCTATCCACATATTCTTCGACAATGTAGGCTGGTTTACGCGGAAGCTGTCGGGCATCCTGATCCTGTTGCTGCTCTTCGCCATGGGCTACTTCATCCAGCGGGTCATCTGCCCGCGTCCTCGCCGGCACCCGCAGCACGACCGCAGCGAGGAGCCCTCCCTCTTTCACGGCCACGCATCAGCGTCACAGGACTCCCTGCTGGACCGGTACCCCGAGTACAGCCTCGGGGACATCACCTCTCCGAACCTGCCAGCCTACGACGAAGTCAAATATTTGCCCACATATGAGGAAAGCATGGAGGAGATGCACAGAGACCGGTCCGATGATAACTTGCTGTCGGAAAACGAGACGGGCAGTCAGGGGAGAGTGAGAGCAGCAGGACCGAGAACTGGAGAGCAGAGAGGGGATGTCCTGGAGGTATCAGGACCGCAACACAGCCCAAGGACATCTCGGAACTCTGTGTGACGGAAGACTGGGCAAAGCTCCAGAGACAATACAGTATTCTTATTTTATTATCACCAGGGTAAATTTATCTTGCAGAGATATAAACTCAAGTGCAATTATAATCCCGAATGTTACGAATAAAGGAGGAGGCTGAGACCATCTACGTGTTTTGTACGATTAAAGGGGATTGCTCGCCTTTTGTATGCAAATGACAGCTTGGGTTAAGTAAAGGAGATTATAAAGTAAGCGAAGGCGAAGAAACGGGCGCTCTTTGTGCTGGGGACAGCCAATTAGGCTCTGGCACAATCGCATTAAGTTTTACTTCAACACCTCAATCTTAAGTGGCACCGTGAAACGGTTTTTCTTCTGTCGATTTCTTGTCCTTTCTTACTCTTAATGCTATTCTGCCGGACTTAAAAGACCTCCTCTTCTTTTATTTATGTTTTATTGAATTTGCATCCAAAAGAAAGAAGAGATTTTCTTTTCTCACCAACCTGAAATGTGGGCTGAAAGTGAAGGGATGAATATCAGTGCACACATTTTTATCTGCCACCTTTAGAGCCAGTTAATTTAGAGCTTATCAGCATGAAAGCAATATTCTCTGGAACTGACACACATGCTCATACCCACACTGTCAGGGACACTTTATCAGTGACCTGAGCCATGTCTCATATGTCCAAAAGCTTAAGCCACGGCACAGAAGTGCAGTTTCTAAACATCCTGGGAGCCTTACTGCTGCTTGAGGCTGCATGTATCAGTGTCTCCCAGGGTCAGGAAAAAGAATGGCAGAGATTACAGCTGGCACACTGATATGGTCTACGCTGCCAAGAAACAAAGTTGTATTTTTAGGATAGCGCCTCAGACAAGTTCACAACTGCTGCCCCAGCACAACCAAGTGAAGGACAAGACAAAGGGGCATCTAACAGGAAACAAGGGCGACAGTGGTCTCAAGATTCAGACTGAGAATGTCTTCACTAATACTTGTATGGTGTGTAACTGACCTCTGCTAAACTGCACTTCTTACTAATAAGACAAGAAGTTTCTTTTTTGCTGCTAGTCTGAAAACCAAGCAAACACTGCACAGATGTCATTACATCAGGCTGAATAGCCTGTTTACCCGGATTACAGCTCTAGTGTATTTGCCATTTATGTTACAATATTGAAAAGGCTCATTCGTCATTAGACATTACTTGAACTGGGTAGGTTGGAAGTAGTCACACTTCTCCTCTCTCCAGCCCAGAGAGAGAAGAAGGCAAAGAAAACACAAAGAAAACCTCCATTAGAGCTGCATGTAAGGATTACTGTGATTAATAATGAATAATCTGCTTGTTATCACTGCTAACTGACCTATTGATTTAGGTTAGAAAACATCAAGTATTAATGAATACTGTCCACCCTGGGTTCCCAGAACCAAAGTGCTTGTTTTGTCTGACCAACAGTGCAAAATGCGATATATTTAATTTGAGTGTGTGTAAAAGGTACATTTTTAGCAATTTTGCTTTAAAATAAGCTTTAATCCCCATTACATCAAATGAATGGCAACAAGTATGGGACAGTGTTGTTAGTACAGTATATAAACTGTGCAGGTTGATTAATCTCCTTAATAATGCAAAAGAAGGTGTAAAGCACCCAATGACCCTCACCCTTTCAACTCCCCCACATTGATTTCCCAGCTGCTTATCTGCTATCAGGAAGACCAGTGCATCCTCATTAAAATATGGAAGAAGTTGCCACTAAAGCATCTGTATCCACAAACTTACAATTAGAGACCTCGAGCTCTTCTAATGTTCCTGACACTAAAGGTCTGAGTGTGATTGTGGTGACTTGCAGAATCCAGTGCTGCCACACAATGACGGCAGAGCCAGTTGTCAACACTGATGGCTTTCTCTTCCAGACGGAAATTTGTGGGCAGGTGGAGTTTGCACTTAAAAGTATTGAATCCATGGCTGTAAACCCACTGATGAGGAGTTTATGTGACCCTAAGGTGCATGAAGCCACATATGATAGTTTCTCAAACCATAAGAGGTGTGCATGTTGCATTTCACTCTCTCCTTTGTAGTCAGGGCATAACCAGTCTCCTGCAGTTGGTAGCATTAAACTTTAATCAGATAATGTAAAGCTGGGACATCCTCTGGCTGGTTTTCTTTTCCTCAAATGCCTATATTACAAATCCAAAGGTATACTGTATGTGCACATATATGTAAAGAGACAGACAAAAGAGGCAGAGGCAAACAGATAAACACAGGGACAAACACACTCACAAAATGGATTTGGTATAAGCATCATTATAATCTCTCTGTGATCCAGCTATTCTCTTGCTCACTGGACCAAAGTACAGATCAACTATACAGGTCAAATCGATGAACATTACCATCCTCATAAATTCTACATTACATCCAGGAAGTGTATTTTTGGGTGAGCTGCACTGTTTGGCCATCAATTTAATACATGAGAACTTGCTTGTCAATAAATACGGCTCTTTAGCTCTGTGGTTTAATAAAAGCACAGTATCGATTTGGCATTTTGCAGTAAAAAAAATAAAATATATATAGTGTAGATATTGTTCAGTTCAGTTGAAAATCAAAAGTCTAAAGATTGTCTGAATGTGGCTTTTTGTATTCCTAATCTACAGATGAGGCTGAAGATGCCTAATGTTAAGTGTAGAACTGGGTAAGCCACAGATTATGGGCTTAATAAATAAAATGTCTAATGAATTATTTTTCATTACCAATATACAAAAAAAATCCTAGTCACATTACTAAGATTGGGTATAGTGTGCACTGTAAAGTTTAACAGGAAGCTTGAATACATAAATTCCTCTCTGCAATGTGTGTGGCCACTCTCGGCCGTAATGCATGTGAAACCTGATTCCTCACTGATAAGTCTTGTATATTAATGGTGTGGGGTATGGTTCATCACATACTGAGGAAGCTTAGAAAGGAAGTGGATGGAGGGAGTAAAATAAAACACAGTGAAGTCAGAGAGAAGAACTTAAAGCACAGCAGTTGAGAACAAAGCCAGTGGTATTTTTTTTTACTACATCTACCATTTTCTCTGACACTTCAGCATCTGTGGAACTCACGGTTTCAGGGATTATGTTGATCTTTCTACCGTATATGTCCACATCATCATGATAAGGTCTAGCAGTTGTTTTTTTTTTTTTTGGGAGAGCCCTGAGATAGATCTTCTCCCTCATTCATCCTTCCTGGGCCACTAGAGGAGATGAGTAGGCTATAATGGCCCACTGATGTACTGGCCTTCTGCCAACCAGGGAGGTAGAGCTAGATGGCAAATAGACAGTTTCACACCTCAGCAGAAAAGGAAATACAAGAATAACTCAAAAAGAAGCACATACTCTAGATATATTGGTTGTTAAAACACACACACACACACACACACACACTGTAAGCATTTCTGGGTGTGTGCAAAGTTGAGAAAAAAAAAACAACCCAAAAACATGTCAAAGATTCTCTATGATCTTTGTGAAAAACCAGTCAAGCATTAAGGCACTTAAAGGAATACAAAGAGGACATGTTGGCCAAATATACTGTATATGGTATTTACATCTGTTTTATTAACAACTATTCATTTTAGTGTTTACAGAAGGCAAGGTTTTTAATATCTAAACTAAAAATATCTATCCATATAAAAACAGAATCAGAGTAATACATTTGTTCACGACAGTACATACCAAGTCAATTACAACAAACAGAAAGAGGTCACAACTGAACGTGACACAATGAACCACTGTGAAGCTGATATAACAGAAAGGCCGTAATGCTGAGGAACACAGAGATTCTTATCAAAACAGGAATCACCCAACAGAATGTCATCTACTATTTACAAATGTTTTATATTACGCAGCATATGCCGCAAGACTGTAGTGCAAGTCAGAGTCAAGTGTCATATTCTTCATGGCCTACTAATCTTCAGATCTCCAAATGGTCCCTTTTGTTTTTACTTGAAGTTAATGTACATTGTACCTCAAGTACAGAAATGTTTTATTACCCCGAGGCCGAGCCAAACCACCTAATATTTACCAAATGTCAGAAACACATGGGAATCTATTTCTGCAAAGCTGATGTTTTAGAGAAAGGCACCCTGAATGTCAGCATCATGAGGCCAGACTGCTCCTCACAGAGGCATGAGCGGCTTTCTCTCTCTCTTTAGACAGTTCCATCTCTATCTTTGCCTGGATTTTCTCCCAGTCCACCTCCACCTGGCAGAGAGACAGACAGATAAGATGACATGAGATTAGATAAGATGTTGTATTTTGCTTTGATCAGCTAGGCATTGATACTGAAAGCAGCTACTATAAATTAGTCGCATAACATGATATGGTGTGGATTGCACTGGAGGCCTGAAAAGTGTGGTGTGTTTTAAAGCTTTTCCCAGCTGATTTTGGTCACAGTTTTTACAGTGAGAGATAGCCCTCTAATGCTCCTACAAGCAATCTATGAGATTAAAGCATAAAAAGTTGCAAATGACACAGCTGTTCTCTGCCCTTGGACTTTTGGTTGTGGAAGAAGAAATGAGGTTGTGGAGGTAAAAAACAAGGAGAAACTGCACTAAAAGGGTGAATTCATGGATACTAAGGCGACAGGCTGAAGGCACTTTTCCAATGCGGCCTCTTCTCCTGCACTGATTCGCTAAGCTCAACAGCCAATCAGAGTGGTCTGTCCCTCACCGATGAGGCCAGACTGCGACGCCAATTCAACGTGTCAAATCGGCTGAAAAGCTGTCAAAAGGGGCCAATTAGTGCCAACGGTGTGGGACACATTGGGACAAACTGGCAGACACTCACAGACGGCCCAACCGCCGGCTTGGTGTGTCTCTGCCCATAGAGACTAACACACCTTCACGCTGACAGATACTGCTGTTTGTGTCAGGCCTCTGGTAAATCTGTAGTTCTGGGGGTGCACTGTGTTATTTAACTGTATGTGATTTACATACTCTTCTCTGACTGGACTGTTGTTTTCTGAAATATTTGCTGCTGTATGTATATTGGCAATTCGTTTCCACATGGTGACCTTTTTTTTATGTCCTGGTAACTTGTTAAAGCCACGTCATAAAGAATTAGGGAGCTGGAGACCAGTGGCGAGAAGTTTTTTTTTCTCCATAAAAAAAAAATCATGTATTTGAGTATAACAGTAAACAACTCTGTGATTCGATTTCTGCTGGAATTAAGAGATCGTGATTGGTTCTTCACTGGCTGATGCTCACACTGCTTTAGAGAATACCAGATCTGCATAGTGTTGAGCTTTCCACCACTTTCCCCTGTAGCTTGGTGATTTTGAATCTGTTGAGCTCAGCAGGAGGTAAAAAATTACTATACTACTATACTAAAAATTACTATATATGGTGTGGATACCCAGCGGTACCCATCAATACCTGGGGGTTCAGGCTGGGTTTGGATAGTAATTTTGAAGTTACAGTATGTTTGGTCCAGCTCGAGTTTGGGCACATACTGTAGGTTCAGACTACATGGCTCGGCCACCCAGGTGTCTGCTTTGTTTAATGATGGAGGGGGGGGTACTACAAAAATCTGCTTTGGGTTCGGATATTATATACTATAAGCTTGTTGGGTCTGGATTGGGTTCGGGCGCTACACTCTCAGGCACAGGTCACATTTAGACAGAAATATGTGGCCTGATCCATGCTCTAACTGGGTGACATATTTCATTCTCACAAAAAGTGTGAGGACAATCTTTTTTCAAAAACGAGAGCCAAGGGGTAAGAATGGCTGTCCGTTTTTACAGTCTGTTAGGTAAGAAAGAGAAAAATGTGCATATGTGTGATTTCTCAACAACATCAATTTTGGATCATGGTTCATCAAGAAACTTGGTAAAAGATATAACCTACTATTTTCATGTGGAGGAAACCTCACTCAAGTGCAGTGGCTCACTGGCGTGTTTTTAATAGTTTGTGGACAACAATAAGGGTCTATGGCGTAGACAAATGAGGTTTTGGATTCACAGACATTAAAGTGAGTACATGAAAGTAACAGTTGGTTGTAGTCTCAGTATGGAATGTTTTGGAAACACATCTCCCAAGAGTTCAGCTGTTTTTACTGGAGGCGCTCGGAGTCTGTAAGCAGCATGTGAAAAGCTAATAATGCAAAGAAAACAATGAGTTTATTTATTTTGTCTTATTTTATTTTATTTTTTATTAATTTTTTTTTCTTTTAGCACCCTTCAGTGCTAAAAACTCAATTAATGCAGCTCAGCAGACAGGCTGCTATAACTTACACCCTCAGCATACTGCAGGAATCTCTTATTGGTCTCCTTCCTGCCAAATTTCTGTAGAAACTTCTCCTTATAGGCCAGCACAGTGTCGACATGGGTCTTATGTTTGACTGCCAGCTCCAGAGCCCTGGAAACGAAATGACTAGATTATATGCACATCCATTCTGTGTGGACTAACATGCTTCACCTTAACTCTTGTTCAAATCTAATTTCAGACCTTCTCTTAAAACTAGCTGTTACAAGGCTGACAAAAAGCCTTTTTCCAAACAATGTACACTGTCCCAGTCCTTGCTGCTCTACTGTACCTTCTTACACACACAAACACTGAGCTGTACCTCTCCCAGTTGAAAAGGTCAATGTTGACTTGTATGGCCTGGTAGATGAGACCAGCTTGTAAGAGAGTGGCTTCCGCCTCCTGGACCTGACCACTGAACATCAGAATGTGGGCCAAACATGACTCCTTCGATGGCTGCTCCTTTATGAAGTTTATGTACTGCACCCTAGGTAACTGAAAAAGGGGAAACGAGGAGTAAAGGGAAAGAAGAAACTGTAATATCTTATAGATCTTATGGTCTCCTTGCCCTTATCTAATGCTCTTACCTCTCCAATGGCAGCATAGGCCATCTCTGCTGTGGTCAGCTCCCTGTTTGCCATTGCCATACCAGCAAGACATGCCCACAAAGACTGGTCCTATACAGACGGACAGCAGAGGCAGTGAGCATTTTAAAATGACCTCATGATCTCACTATCTGACACCATGACCTGAGATCAGTTTTTGAATGTATAAATCATTTTGTAATATCTAAGAAACAATGATGAGTGACAAAGTCATGGAGAAAATTATGTGAAGAAGACGCTGAATAAGTTTGCTTTTTTATGCCAGACTGTTATTGGAACATAAATTGTTTATACATTGTAAAATTTAGACTTTCCTTTTACTAAATGTTTAATTTAAAGTACAAAGCAATGATTTATAATGGGGGCAGCACATGAGGCATGAATGTAAGCGTGTGCAGCGCATGATGGTAGTCCCTATTACATGCTGCTCGTATCCTGACAGGCCTCATTGCTCCAATCCATTTAGAAAACATGCATGATACAGACAAAAACAAACGTAGATGTAGACATTTGCTGTACACAACATCTATGGATGTAAACAAATGAGTCACCACTTTATTCTGTGCAGCTGCCTTCAATAAAACCGCTAACTGGCCAACAGTTCAGTAAATGTCACTCTAGAGTCACCACCCTGTAAATCCCACTTGAATCAATGTACATCAATAAAACAAACAGCTATAATCGGAACGAAGGAAATAATAAATAACACTGATGGTTTATGAGCTCAGTGCCTGAGCTCATAAACTTAATACAAAAAGTTGACTACTGATCAAATCTTCCGTTGGTGTGCCTGTATCATACTTGGAACTATAGATGTGCATGTTAGGTGCAGCCTGTATGTGTGCATGGCTCTGAACTACTACATGTATGAACCCCTATCAGGTTAAGGCTCACTGACAACAACTGTGATTCTGGGAAAAGCCGCATTGCCACCAAACTCTTACCAGAAGTAGAGGGGGGAGGGGCTGAGGAAAAAGCTCTTAAAACCAGTGCCTCTCTCTCCATCCCCCTTGTCCCACTCTCGTCTTGCTACCAACGTCCATTTCTCCAGAGCTGTGGTTATTGCATCATTGCCCAAGCAAAGACAGTCCCATACTGCATTCAGTTTGTGTAGTTTACACATGCATATAGTTGTGTGTATGAGTGTGAGTGTGTTTGTGAGTGAGGTCTAAATCTAGTAAATGGTGTCACCAGGCAAAGTGAAGGCTAATTGAAGCCTGCTGGTCTGGTCTCAGAAACCTGTCTACTACATTCATACATGTGAGTGTGTGCGTGTGACACACGACATGGTCTACTACATTCATACATGTGAGTGTGTGTGTGTGTGTGACACACGACATGGGAGCCCAGACTGTGCCAGAGCTCTAGACTGCAACACTATCTTGAGGTGAATTACAGAATGTGATAAGAAGTAATGCTCAGTGTGATCTTATTTGGGTATTTAAAATGTAAAGAAATACTTCAATTGGATATACAAACATTTAAATTAGATTTAAGAAAGACACCACAACAGGTATAAAACAAGTTGAAACTGACAATTTCCTCATAGGCAGAATTAGCAAATATCAACAGAGATGTGATACCTTAGCAAAGCGGCATAGGCGCAGTGCATCCTCCCAGCGTACAGAGGCGCTGTATTCATGCAGGAGGGCTGGGTAGGGAGGTACACTGCTGTACACCAGTGAACCGTCTCCTTGGCGTAATGTCACTTTGGTGCCAACATAGTTTAGAATGTGGGGTGCACGGCTGAACTCACTTTGAAGGGGGCAAATACACACACACACACACACACACACACACACACACACACACACACACACATACGGTTGTGTCTGAGGATGCTCACTGACATAATGCACTGTCTAGCCCCTAACCCTAACCATCACAACTAAACACCTAACACCTGACCTAAACCTAATTCTAACCTGAACCTTAAAACCAAGTGTTAACACTCAAAAGTGCCTTTGAAGTTGGGAGGAGCAGCTAAAATATTCTCACAATAATACCATCAAGAAAAACTGGTCCATGCTATATAAGAGACATTTACACACACAAACATTGCTTTCTGGTGTGGTGACTCCACTGATAAAATCTGGAGCACCAAAGCAGTAAAACTAAAACAATAAATAAAATGAAAAATAGCAGCCAAAATTGAAGTTGTGTTAACAGAAGGAAACTACAATTGAAAACCATGATCTCATTAAGAGAAAAACATATGATGTCTGAAAAAGTATGATTCAGCTTAAAGCTACAGTATGTAACTTTGTTCAGATATTTTTTTTTGTAGAAATCTGCTCCAAAACTGCTGCCAAAGCCTCCTGTGACCCAGACTCATTGAACAGCACTGGCAGCAGTGCAGAGACATTAGCTTCTAAAAGGTTTGGAGCAGGACTGACCTCTCTAACCAATCAGAGATTTTCAATTATTTCTGCTTGATCAGTAAGTTTTATTACATTCTCATTTCTTGTAATTTCATAAGGACAAATATCTGAAGAGCTGGGCAGATCGCAGTGGAGCATAGTGGAGCATAGTGGAGCAGGGAGAGGGAGTGCTGGTTGGAGCAGAGTGGGGTTTGAAGGTTCATGCTAGTGCTACCTTAGTTACATACTGTAGCTTTAAGAAGTGTAAAAATGAAGAGTGGCTGAAGAATAAAAGAAAAACAGAGCAAGTACAATGTGAGCACAAATAAAAACAAAATTATGCAACCAGATGTTAGATTAGTGCAGCAGAGACATACAAAACCAGTCCAGGATTGCCTGCACAGACAATGCAGGCACTCTGTCTTAGCACCTCCTGTGCTGGCTGAAGCCGTGGACCTTTGGGCAGGAAATATTGTATAGTGTGACAGCTGCTGGCAAAAAAGCAGTGCCTAAAGTACTATGTGCTGTACTTTAGGGAATGAGCTGGAAGATGCAAAACAAAAAGAACTGATTCTATCCATCTTCTTAGCCGTTATTTTAAATCTTTTCCTGCTACTTCTCCTCCGTGACCGCTTTAAGCTCACTTGAACATCATTGGGGCACTGTGGCTTGACTTCTGCACGCTACTGGATGCATGTGATTCTGGCCAGTTTCTAATTTTAACATGTCCTAGTGCTTTTGTGGTACTAACTTGCTCAGCCATCAGTATCAGTTTATGCTATAAAGTGCCAATATATGAGCGAGAGAGCAGAGAACTGTGAATGTCTACCTGTCGTCCTTTATGTACAGTGTTTTTGGCAGCAGCTCCTTGTCAGTGAAGACAACACTCGGGTAGTACCAAACTGTGAGCTGTTTGTCCTGGATTCCACACAGGATGTTAGCGGCATCATTCCATGCCATACTGTGAACCATGCTACCTACAGGACAGAATACACAAAAACATCATTTATCCAGTGTTAACTACACTTGTGTATAAAAACAGAGTCACTACACTACTTGTGGCATGAGTTCCCTCCTCCACGTCTCACCAATTTTGCAGATTTTGGGTTCTCGCCCAAGATGACGCACAGAGGTTAAGTATAGGTCACGGTTCTTGTCTATCAGTGCAATCTTCCTTTCAGTGGATGGGCCACACTGGTCCAGAGCGATCTCCACCACCTCCAGCTACATATAAACATAGAAACAGACACACACAAGCACAAAAGGTAACAGTGAACAGAGGAGTGAATGATGGAAGGAGGTCGAACAATCAGTAAAAAAAAAAGAAAAGGGGGAGAGTGGTTTGTACTGTAACCCAAGTTTGTGAGCCTTTATATGAGAGAGAGCCTTTAAGTGTGTGTGTGTGTGTGTGTGTGTGTGTGTGCAGACCTGACTATTTTCGGCTAGAGCCAGCTGGCTTTGGTGTGGTGTCTTGGAGCTGTGGAGTACTGGCAGACAAAGCCATGCTGACAAACTAACTACTGTTACCTTCACTTCTTTTTCTCCTCCTTTAATTCTTTTCTTCTTTTTGTCTCCTTCCCTCTTAGTTTGACTCCAAAGCATTTCCACTCATTCTTTGCTCGTGTCTTTATTGTCTCTCTCTTTTTAGATATGGGTTAGTGTCTATTTAGCACAGGCACTCACTCTGAAAAGACTGTATCCCTAAACTAGGTCTATTTAGATGAAAATTAGCCTGTTGAATCATCAGGGAAAAAAACTGCCAATACCTTTAACTACAGATAAAGGCTGCAGACAAACACTCAGCATCCTCACCACCTGATTCATCTAGAAGACACAGAAAACTAGACAGTACTCAGAGAGTGCAGCCTCCATCAAGGGCATTCCAGTTTCCCCATAATGCCATAAAAGCAATATTCCCATGATAGTCTGACTGTCATAATATGATTGTTTGACCATGAAAAACAACTGCTGGCATTTGGAATGATGCTGATATCATATATTCAAGCAATGTGCACTTCCTTCTCCAGCTCAGGAAGTTCAACCTGCCCCAGGAGCTGCTGATACAGTTCTACAGAGGAACTGTCGAATCTGTTTTCTGCTCTTTTATCTCTGTCTGGTTTGGTTCGTTCAGTCAGGATGGCAGAAAGAATCATTGGTACCAGCCTGCCCTCCATGGAGGACCTGTACACCTCACGGGTCAAAAAGAGGGCAGAGAAGATTTCTGCAGACCACTCACACATATTCTCAATCTACAGTAAGTGGTTATTTTGTCACCTGAGAAAGTGTCAAAACTTATTAAAATGGCATAATGTCAGATGAAAGTGTTAACAGCTCTGAGCCTGGCTCAAAATCTCTGCCCTCACCGTTTGGGATCAAGATAATTGCACTTGGCTCTGGCCTGGCTGTCACTGCATAGAGTAAATCTTTCCCCAGCTGTGGGCTGTCACCTTGCTGGACTCCTTCAGTCCCTGTCTAGTAGTTCCTAAACTTGTGAGAATGATAAAGGTGTTCTTTCTTAATAGCTGTAGCAACACAGATGAGAGCGAGAGACATATGCACATGCCCACAGTGTTCTGTGAGGTGGTCTAAATAGGCAAAAGTAAAAACACCTGGGACTATGGGTGTGTAAGGCCTTGAACATGTCACAAGCTCTAGATATTTCATATGACAATTTGTCATTATATTCTACAGTTTATCTACACACAAATAACACAAAAATGAATCTGTAATTGCAGACCTAGAAACCATGGATAATTATGTGAGACTCTTGTGTTTCTGTGCTGAGTATCAAAGATGTTATTGTTAAAGGACAAAAATAACAAAACTTAACAGAATCAAAACACTTGCACATCTAGCAACTAGCTGCTTCACTACTCCAAAGCCAAAGGATCACTCACCTTGTGGGTCAAAGGTTTCCCATCACCAAGGGCTTTCCCAGTCAGGCCATCAAAGAGAAGGATGACTGGGGAGGAAAAGGGAAAAGACATGACAGTAAAAATACAGTCCATCCTAAGCATCACATTTTAGTAATGACAGTGATTTCTTCACCTTTTTCATCATTCTTGTCTCGGACGGCAATGGTGTCTGTACTAAGTGAGACACTTTGAGCATTTAGGATGTCAGCTCTCATACCAGGGAACTTGGGGGAGGATATCAGTCGACCTTCGTAGGAGAACGTATATAGCCCTGCTCCATCCACTAGCAGAAAATATCTGGATGGGAAAGACAAGAGGTTGCAGTGGATGAGACTGGAGTAAGTACAGTAAATGTGAGTGGGGTAGGATGGAGAGGGAAGAAGGAGAGCAAGGAGGGAGACGAGGTAGATGAAACGTTATGAAGAAACAGTTGATAACATTTAATGAACTGACCATACACAGGTAATTTAAACACATATTGTACATTAATACAGTATTAACTTACTCACCAAGACTCATCAAACATAAGTAGTAATCTATTTAGCTCTACGCTGTCAGGGACTCGGCACTCGAGTATTGCACAAGAGCTACTCCATATTAATCTAATTTACCCCAGTGGTTTCACTCTCAGCCTTATTGTATGACAGGGCAGGCTAAGCTAGAGTGCAGCCCCTGTGTATGTGCATGCCTGTGTGTGTGGTCTTATTTTTCTATACTTGTGGGGAAGGAATACTGGGGACACACTAGCTTCGTGGGGACCGGCATCACTTGTGGGGACCAGAGAGCATAGTTTATCGCATTTTCTGAAAACGATGCGGTGTGACATTAGAGCATGCACTGGATTGGGTTAAAGGTAGGGTAAGTCTCTCGAAAATGAATGTAAATCTATGTATGGACCCAGTAAGTGCCAAAAAAAGGATATGTATGTGTGTGGAGTAATGAAGCATTAGAGAAGCTGACAGATGATCCATCAGCCTGTTCTCTCTCTTGTTGCATTTCTGGTGGAATAGAGACACTCACTTCTCTGCTTGCAGGATGAGGCTGACTGTTCCCTCCTTTAGGTCAAAGATGAGGGGTGTATTCCAGTTTCTTGAGCTGCGACAAATAAACAGCACAAACACAGAGAGCAAAATTTGTGAACTCGAATTTGTGAAGATATTTAACAAGAAAGTGTTACTTCTGGCATTGGTGAAAAGACCACAGACACATGACCAAGAACAAAAATGTAATGAATGAATGAATAAAAAACAATGAATGGAGAGGAGCTAAATCTAAAAAGTTCCATAATTCCATGGAGTTCCATAATTATTCAGGCCAATCAAAAAAAATATATACAGTATATATCCTCAGGGTTTGGTCAAAGGGTGTAAAAGATGAGCATGTGTGAGGAGAATTCTGAAATCATTAGATGAGACGCTTCAGGCCAGTGTGAATAGGGAACAAGAGGAGATTAACAAAGGAGGATTAGGCTACTGACTTGTACACATAGCACTGGAGGGAAGTGGCAACCACCAGGTGACTGTATGCCAGAGAGGCTTTGATGACTCGATCTCTAAACTCTAACACATCCACTGCATCGTTCATCACATTCCTCACCTGAGGAACAAAAGAGAAAACCAGAGGGGACAAAAAGGTGAGTTAAGTGAAAAGAAAAAAAAAACAAGAGTAGGGATAAATAAAGTTCTCAGAAATGACTGAACAGGAATAAACTTTATAATACTGAGCAAACACTTTAGATTTAAATATGCAAACAACAAAGGAGAGACACTGGCCTTACTATCAGAGGTTGGAACACAGTCATGTACACAGTTGAGTGTATTTATTCTTAACATACACAAGAAATAGTCCACAGTATATCCAAGTACACATAGGGCAGTTGTGGTCAGAGAAAACAGTTTTTACAGTTGAGCAGTGGTTGGTACTTGTTTTTTCACTTGCATAGACAAATACTTCCCTCCAGCTCTCTCTGTGAATGAATGAAAGGGCCTTTTCCAGCACCAGGTGAAAGGTGGGGTTATTTTTACAGCTTTACAAATCTTCTTCCTCTGCTCCCTTCAGCAAGCCAAATTTACATGCAACACAACCAAGAATAAAAAACGTTTGACCACAAGGTGGTAAATTTAGCTGGCTGATTCACAAACCACTGGCAGATGTGCACTATTAAAAAATACTGCGAGAAGAAGCCGGGGAAGGATGGAGACAGAAAAGCGCCTGCAAAGCTGAAATTAATGACTGATGACCTGACTGTTTGGTTTACACAAACTGCACTTGGTACAGATGTCTATGGCATATGGGTGTATGTGTTGGCACACATGCATGTGCATGACCTTGTTTCTGTTTTCATGACCTAGGTGTGCATGCGGATCCCTGTCTGAAAATATAGTGTGTGTGTGTGTGTGTGTGTATGCACATTTGGGTGTTAGGGTTAGAGTTTAAACAGTAGAGAAGAGTGGAGGGATGGAGGCAGCTAGACAGGCTGGTCATTGTCACTGCAGGGCTGAACACTGAAACACTAGGAGGGTCCTACTATAATATATTGCTAGACCTGGGGATCATTTGGTTTTCTACATAGCATACTCACTGATCTCTTCCCAGTTGGCATTGCAGTACCTGTTCATTTTTCTTTTTAGTTTTCTTCTGAACTTTGGGTAAAATATTACTCCACAGAAAAAGTGCAAAAACCTAAAAGTGGATATGTGAAGGGTTCTCTTTCTACCTGCATGGTTCTCCTTTTGGTAAGAGTAATCACAAAGTTCTTCCACTCCCAGTGCTGCTCCACCACATGGGCAAAGATGACATGCCCATTGCCGCAAGCCCCAGCCAGTTGGGTGCCATCTGCAGACCAGGCCAAGCTGAACACACTCCCCGTATTGGGCATCTCCAATGCATAAGACCACTGGAGGGAGGGGATAAGGGAAGAGAGAAAGAAATGGGGGAGAGAGAGACAAAACAATATGGTTAATGGCTACAGATACTTATCTACAACCTTAAACAATTACCCGAGGGCAGGTTAGGAACTAGAAACAATACAGAATTTAGAGAAGAGGAGCAGTGACAGTGTACGAGTGAGTGTATATCTGTGTGTGTGTGTGCACCTAACGTAAATTCTGCTAGGAAGACAGGGGCCCAGTCAATCAGTCACTGAGCTGTGATGAACTGTAGAACACAGAAGGAGTGCTCAGCCCTGCCAGGCCCACACTTGCACTCGTAAACATACACTCTGCTATCCTCATCTATTACATACACAGTGGTAGTGGCACAGAGGGAAAACTGAGGGCTTATATGACTCCCCAAACTGAAGCTAAAAGCTGACTGACAAATACCTCTCCCTTCCTTTTATAAGACAAGGGGTAAAAGAGGTATACCCAGAGAGAGAGGGGGAGAGAGATAGAGGTACAAAGTAATATAAAGAGGATTTTCCCCCTTGTCTGTTGTGCTGAATCAGCCAGACTCTGCGCTGGCTCTGACAGTCAGTGATGGCAAAAGACACAACTGAGACTCGTTTCCCAGAGTTTTTCCTACTTTTCTCTATATAATCCCTTGATTTTTTTCTTTTGCCAGCACTTTTTTCCTCCACACTCCTGTCTGTCAAGTCTTCTGTGGAGTATCACAACAAAAAGTCATTCTTGTGCTCTGAATCAGAATGAATCAGTTGAGACAGAAGAGCCACCAGCAGAGTCTTGTTTTCCGGGCTGATCGTTCATAAGGCCAGGTGGTAGTTAGACTAGCACACATGGCATTTTTCTGTCATAACCTTCTTCCTATACTTGTTTTATTCTGTTATTGCTAATTTTACCCCTACCACACACAAAATCAGGGCCCAAAAGAGTTGCAGGCAACAAACAAAAAAACCAAGACCTGCACAGCCATGTGGACAAGGAATATTTTGATTTCTGCATCTCCCAACCTGAGATGTGCTTCCATAAGCATCTATTCTTAGGATAATGTCTTTAGGTGTCCCACTCTGTGTTAACACACCCGGGGCGGTGGGGGCATGGGAAAGAGAGGGAGGGATAGATGGTGGGTGAGAGATGCAGCTGAGTGTGTACACCAGACTGTAGCAAAGCAGGACACATGATATCAACCTGAGGAGTACTGCTGGATCCATGCTTACCTAATGCTTTTAACACATTGTGTCATTTGACTCCTTCTACAGTCAGCCGGCAAGCCAGTAAGTGAGCGTGTGTGTGTGTGTGGGGGCTGTCTTTGTATGCATGCAGTACATGTGTGCAAATGTATCCATGTGTGTGTAATTTATGCGTGTGTGTGAGAGAGAATAGATTAGATGAGGAAAGTGTAAATACATTTAGTGTGAGAAAGGAGGAAAAAATACAAAATAATTATGTGTGTGAATAAAGAGAGACATGTGAGTTCATATTTCTCTCTTGTGAGTGCTGTGCCTCTTTTTTGAAGGTGTGTGTACATGTGTGTAAAAGTGGTGAAATGGCTCTGGCTTGTCAGAGTTGTCAGCCACTGTCTGACTATGGGACACAGGGGGAGCTCCTATTGCTCTCCTGTGATGGATAGACTGGGCCAGCAGGGGGGAAACATGGGACATGAATACTACTCTTTTCACATACTTATACTTCAGTATTGAGATGCAAGATCTCTGCATCTCTCCTTCCTCAACCTACCGCTCTTTCATTTACTCCCTCTTTCCTTTCTGGTGAAAAACGTAGATGTCCTGACAGCTGGCTGCCTAACAAGGAACTGGTCAGAAGAAAAGTTCTTCATGAAAGAACAAAGACAACTCGAGAATTTAAGACCAACTGACTTAAGGACATGTCCACACTAAGGCAGATACAACAAGATAATGGAGGAACAACTAAAACTCTTCTTCTGTGTCCTCTGTTGTAGCTGTTAAACAACAAAATTGCCCATTAGGACTGCTTAGCTACTTTGCTTGGGCTAAGAAAGTTGAAGGATTTTCACATCTAACTCTCCATAATCAAATACTTTGTTTTGATGTATCAAGATTCACACAGAGAAAAATTATACAGCAAAAAGACTGTGCAAACATACATGCACAAAGAGTGCAAAAAGGCCAAAATAAAGACTTAGGAGGGAAAAGTGGGATGTGGAAGGGTGTTTTGGGCCTCATCTAGCTGGACTCCACTCTGGTCACTGACCCATGTCTGTCCATAATGGGCAGCTTTGTGGCCAGAGAGAAGGTGGCAGACATGACGTGTAGTTCTCAGCTGAGGTCTGAGGGAGAGAGGGGGAGACCCCTCAACCTTACAACGAGCTTACACACATAGGCTACATGAATACAGCAGCAATGCACAGCTGTGCATGTTAAGTCTAGGTACACACAGCAATGGAGACAGAAACACACGCCCACATGCTTGTGATGATCATTTTGACTTCCAAGCACAACACCCACACATGCATCCTGTGTGTGTTGACGTGTATGTGTTAATGTGAGTGAGACACACAAACATTAGTTGCATGTAAGTGTCAAACCTGACAGCTAAACTGGTAAAATGACCCTGTGAGATGCTGTAGTACCACAAAAGAATCATTTGAAAACGTTGCTTTACCATCAGCCGTCCTTCACCATATTTGCTTGGTGTTGTAACTATCTGGATCTCTTTGTTTCAAGGGCAGACCTAAATAATGACTCTGGCTCGCACTATGCTGTCAGTATGTGCAGACAACAGCACATTTGTGCACACACATATGTATGCATGCACTTAAAAAAACTGCCTTTTTAGAACCTCTTTAAGAACTGTGCTTGTCCTCTCCCTCCTCCTTCCCTCTTCACTTTCTGCATTTCTTAACATATGTTTACCATTAAGACTGGCAGGTGTTGTGGGCCTGCCCCTTCTGTCTATTGTTGCCCTGCTGCCTCAGCGAACATGGGGAGGCTTGCAAAAAGGTTACATTTTTAAAAAGATAGCTCAAAGGAAGGGGTGTTTGTACTCTGAAAACCTACAAAGTTACAACCCAAAGTTGTTACTAACTGACCCTTTTTCTCTATGTGCTCCTCTTTACAATTAACACTGCCCTGTTTGTTCAGCTTTTTCTTGCCTTAAACAAAAAACAAAAATCACTCCACAATTGAAGTGATACTCCGCCCATCTATTCAGTGTAAAAAAGTGGCTGTTGAAAGTTGAGAGTTTTGTCTTTTCTGCAATACAACAGCTGTTTTCAGAAATGATCTGCATTTATGTATGAATCTGTCTTAAAATACTGTAACATAGGCTAGCTTGAGGAAGGAGCCAGAGAGAGAAGTTGCCTTTTTCTCCTTTATTTTCACACACACGGGCAACCACACCAACTAGAACACGGAACAATTCATGCCAACCCTGAACTAAATACATCCCGCCCAGAGGGGCATTCTGGGGGACCCCACCAAGTATCTCTCTGCCCCCAATGCTACAATATGCTCAAATCTAAGTTAATGGTATATAATATATTTAAACTAATAACACAAATCAAATGTATTGTTCTTGTCCATATTAAATACATCATTCAAACATTCACAGTGTAGGTTCGAAAGGGTATTTGAACCTGGCTTAAAGCATGAACAAAAGCTAATTGGAGTCAAGAGTTAGCAAACCTGGAGTCTAATCAATAAAACCAGTTAGAAGGTGTGAGCTACAGCTACTGTGACATATTAAAAAACACATCTGCTAATTTGAACCATGCCTCACAAAAGCGTGATCTCAGAAGATTTATTGTTGATTGCATAAAGCTGAAAACGTTACGAAGTAAAAGGTTTAGCCAGCTGAAGTAAAAGTTGGGTGATGAATCAGGATAATGACCCTGAACACTGAAGTAAATCTACTACAGAATTTCTTCAAACAAAGAAGACCTGTCGTCAGAGGTCGGTCAGACAGCATCCAAAAAAGGTGCTGTGGGCAGATCTCAAGAAGGCTGATCACACAAAACATCCTAAGAATATGGCTGAGTTGAAGCAGTTCTGTAAGAAGAATGGTCCAAAACCCCTCCTAAATGTTGTGTTGTTGTGATCCACAGCTACCAGAAGCACCAAAGGAGGTTTGACTAGATACAGTAAATCCAAGAATGAGCCTTTTATATGTACATAGGAGCAGGTCTGTTATCATGGAGGCTGACGTGTAGTTACTTATTTTTTTATTTTTTACAGTAATCCAGAACAAACAAAGCAGCATGAATTTTGCATGTTCATGTGAAAGTAGCAGCTTGAATTTGGAGATACAGTAGTTGGAACACAATAAGAAGTAATGTTAGAAACAACAGGGAGCACTTTCGTGAGTTTAAGAAATATAATTTGAATAAATGGAGGATCATGATTCAACTTTAACACAAGAAAAAGGAAATCGGTGAATCCCCACTGTCAAAAAAGCAAAGACAGGAAGAAACAGGGTAACTTTAACTGTGAACTGCAAAAACCCGGTCAAGCCAGCTGCTGTTCGACTTTTGTGCACTTCTTTTCATGAAATTATGGTAAGGGTGCTTGGAGCGGCCAAGGTGAACATTTAAAGCCTGGCTGAGTGTTTACTAATAGGCCTAAGAAATAAAACTTATTAACGTATTATTGCTCATCTTAATGTCTATATTCAGCCTTGAAAATTACACTGCGGTCAATTGAGTTGCTGTTAGCTTTTGTATGGTCAAGTCAGCTGTGCTTGTTTTCCGAGTGCGTGAATTGTCCTACATTTATGGCAATCATTGTAAAACAGCTGTGAAGGCTGCTGAACTTGATGTATGCCAGCTTTGCTGAACACTTCAATCTGCAAGCAAACCGTTAGACATCACTAAATTCCACATACTGCTCCTTTAAGCCCTTTGTGTTTGTCTATACCTATGAATTAGATGAAAATCAGATCATATTTATGACCAATTAATGCAAAACAGGCAATTGCAAAGGATTTACATACTTCTTGACAGCAGACCAATGGAAGCTGTGTT